GAAATGAGGGTTTCTTGAAGGCTGCGGTACCTTAGTTAGGGCTCCGTTGATTTCAGGGTCTTACCATCTAGAGTATACCTGTATCAGGGAATGAGACTGTGCCGTCGCGCTGGCATGCCCGGCCGCCGCAGCATCCCAGTGACGAAAACTTTGGGCTCATAAGGGAGTCGTGATCTGTTGGACTGAAGCCTCGCCTGCTTTGTCGAGTGTGAGTGCTAAAAAAAGAGAGTCGTGATCTGAAAGTTCAACCCTAGGTTTCCTTGTACAAGTGTGCAAATTAGGACGAGGGCCGCTTAGCCAAGTTGTCAGAGTGGAATCTCCTGTTCTTAGAGGAATCCTTATAGAGGCCTTTAATTTGTGTTAACACGTCAGAAGGAACCCTTATAGACGCCTTGTCAGAACCCTTTGCCGAAAACCCTGATCCCTGACAGACTCCGTCCCTAATTCTGAAAGTAGACCCACCCAAAGCCTTCTGGGGCTGATCCGAGGTGAAGAACTCGACGTGCGGATCTGAGGTTGCTTCACCCTCGCAGATTTGTATCGTGCAGCTAATCGAAAGTGGGGCTCATTAGAGGCAAGATGCTTGTGACGAACCCGTGTGCAAGTACGATGATTGCAAGAAGCACGTTCGCATGTACAGCATGGCATTTAGAGCTGCGCTGACCTCTGCTGCGTTTGTCTCATTCTGTCTCTTCGTCAGCTTGGTTGTGCATGGTTTATATTCTGCATCTCAGTCGTTGCTGCACGTCCTGCTTTCTAAAACTGTCCTGCTGTTTGCATTCGTTGTCTTCCTGTGCCGAATGTATATGACGGATAAAGCAACTGAATCGCGAAGACTTGTTCTTTCATGGCCATGTCCAACATGCTGCTGCAGCGGAACCACGAATCCTAAACCCTAAACCCCAAAGCCTAAACCCTAAACCCTAAACCCTAGTTGTGAGAGTGTAAACCCTAAACCCTAAAGCCTAAAGCCAAGAGAGGGTGCTCCTAGAAGAGGTCCCGATTCCTAAAAATCCTCTTCGACTCTTTGAGGCCCCCGGTACAAGAATTATTATTACTGTTATTGTTGTTGTTATTGTTGTTATTAATATTGGTTATTCATATTATTCTTAATCTCATTATTACTGTTATTGTTATTGTTATGAGTATTATCACTATTATTATTAGCATTACGACGTACTCCTACTACTAATACTACTACACTCCCTAGGCCCACTCTGGCAGCTTAGGACGAAGCATGGCTTTGGGACGTCTCCGCGGGACATTGGCCCGGGCCTTCGTTGACTGAACCGTAAACCCTAAACCTTTGCAGACTCGCACCATATGCCTCGCCTGGATTGTCCGAGTGTGAGCGCCGAAACCCCAAACCCTATACCCTATACCCTAAACCCTAAACCCTGAACCCTAAACCCTAAACCCTAAACCCTTCGAAAAAGGAGCTTAAACAAAAAAGAACCCTAAACCCTAAAACCCTGTACAAGCCTTATAATCCCTAAAACCCTATAAGCCCTGAAGCCCTGCAGACCTGGGCCTGGAGGCCTCGGGGCAACCGGGTACGAGCCCCTAACCCTGGCGGCTTCGAAGGGAAGTGGGAAAAGAGACAGGGCTTTGGGCTTAGGCGTTTAGGGGTTTAGGGGTTAGGGGTTTAGGGGTTAGGGGTTTAGGGGTTTAGGGGTTAGGGGTTCAGGGTTTTGCTTAGAGTGTAGGGGTTTAGGGATTAGGGCGTGCAAGAGTCCTGGATGCAAAAGGGTTCAGGGCGTCATCCTCTGCAGGCTGCTGAGTTTACAGGGTGGTACCTGCCTGTCTTTGTCGTCCCGTATCAAGGCAGTCTACGGGGCAGTCATGCTAGCGCGCCAGTTTCCAAGTCGATACCCTGATTCATGCATGCAGCTACTGTCTCATGACAAAGCATGTGTTTAACGTTGATGTTTTGATGGATCCCGACGTGCAGGATTGTGTGCTGTTGGAACTGCCACAAGTGGTCACAAAATTTTGCCTTCAACATTCGGTGGTTATAACATAGAGTGCCTATCCTAGGGAGTGGAGTGCTTGTGTGCTGACGTTTTCGGGCCTCGGCTGAAGAACGGCAGAGGAGGCAATGCTGGCAGTCATCAAGTCCGGTTTCAAAAGGGTTTGGGGCGGGGTTGCGCAGTCACGAGGTTTTGGGGTCTAGGGCTTAGGGTTTACGGTTTGGGGTTTGGGGTCTAGGGCTCAGGGTTTAGGGCTTAGGCTTAGAGTTTCGGGGCAAAATGGAGGCCTTGATGCTAGGATCAACTGCAGTACTGAACTTTCCTCAGAGATAAATAAATATAACATAAATAAGATAGTATAATGTAGTATAAGAAGGTGTAATACCACCTTTGTACTACAGCCTTGTGCGATAAATGTTTATATTATCCCAGCCGTCCAAAGCCTGCTGAGTTCGCCCTGCCACTTCGCCCGGTCCTGGAGAGTGCGCCGTTGTCGGACCCGTGTCCATCTTTCGGCGTTTCTTAGTCAGGTTCAGTATGCATTATTAGGGTTCGGGGTTTACGGCCATCAGGGCCTTCATGAGGCTGTAGGGGAGGTTTGGCGTTTGAGCTTGTGTTTGTGCAGGTACACGCCTGCGCAGACACTGAGCAGGAGCGGCTACAAGTACGGCACGCACCCTAATTTCCAAGATTTGACAAGCCTGTGATGCCCACTGTTGCACACCCATCGCGACGCATGTCCGAGCCAGAGTCAGCGTGGCGGCTGTGCTTTTCTCTCAGGGAGTTGGCTCTGAGGTTTCGGGACATCGCAGAGGCAAAGCCTGAAAAACATCAGCGTCGCTGCTGGAAATCCGGGTGCGGCTCTCGAAGTGCTGCCTTGCAGAGTTTTGGATTCAGAGTGCAGCGGGCTGAATGTGCTTTCATGTCATCCCAGTTCGGTGGACTTGCTGAGTGCATCGGTGTTTTCACAGCTATAGTCTTTCCCCACGCCCTAAGCCTTGAACCATAAACCCGTTTTCTTTCAGTTTCAACTGTTTTCTCACCCTGCAATGCGGGCTCGTCCTTGCTAGTGAGGAGGAATAACTCCACAAGCCTTAAATCTCTATACTCGAGAAGCCGAAACAATTCTAGTAGAATATGCCCAAAACCTGACTCGAATTATTCAGGCCCTTATATAAACAAAGTGGCACTAAGCCCTAAAAAGAACCTTACTCCAAGATACTTCGGACCGAATGGGAGTGTGACGTACCGACCGGGGCCACATGCGCCTGCCTTCGAATTATGGACCAACCTCACCTGCATTGCCCGAGTTGCGAGAGCCCAAAAGAAAGCCCTAACTAAACCCTTGCAGGCTCTGCATGGTCAGTTGAAATGAAGCAAACCTCGCTTGTGGGCATAGATTTCAGCCAGGCGAGAGAAAAAAACCCTAAACCTTAAACCCTCTAGTGGGAAGAAAAACCCCTTCTACTGTGGGTTCCTCTGTTTCCTGTTGGGCCAGTCTCGCTACAGACCTTGCCAGGCTTTGTCCGAGTGTGAGTGTCAAAACAATCAGGCCTAAACCCTAAACCCTAAACCCTAAACCCTAAACCCTAAACCCTAAACCCTAAACCCTAAACCCTAAACCCTAAACCCTAAACCCTAAACCCTAAACCCTAGCATCTGATCAGGCCCCGGCGCCTACACCCAGTCGCCACGCTTCGGCCGGGAGGGGCCGAAATACACGGCGAACTCCAAGCGCGGAGGCCGCCGTGCCTGGCACTTTGTGCTTTGGGTTAGGCTTAGGGTTACGTAGGGGCTTAGTTAGGGCTACAGGTTGAGGGTTTAAGGTTGAAGGTTTAAGGCTTTGAAGGCAGGAGCCGCTTGTGTTCTTACTCTTTAACTGTTGCAAAACAGCATGGCAGGGTGAAGCTCGGCATTGGCATCAACTGACGACCTCTATGCTTGGACCGGTTCATGGGTTTGGGGTTTAGGGTTTAGGGTGGGAAGTGCCAGATGCTGTGTGCCTCGAGCTTCACATGTTTGCATTCTGCGTCTCTGAAGCCTGTGCAGTTGCATGTCCGACCTTGGTTGTGGACTCGGGAGCGGAATCCGTGGCGTGGTGGAGTCGTTGTCATTCGTTGTTGTTTTGTTTGCACGTGCACCTGTTGGTTAAGGGTTTTTTGGATCTCGTGACACTCTTGCAGCATTGCCTTTGATGGGTCATGGTTCTTTTGGGTCTCTCTGTCCAGTGGCTGCAGCCCCCCCAGGTGCCAGGTACTCAAACCCCGAATAGGGTCGGCGAAACGACGGTTGTAAACACAATGGGTACGTGTATATGCACAGGGTACAAGTCTGTGCATGCAATGGAGCGGCCCTGAGCCAGAATCCTATACCAGAGAACTTTAATAAGGTTAAGCCTTACATATGCTCTAAAGAATTTCACAAGCCCTACACTCTTAGGCAAAAAACACCTTTATCCCCTAAATCCCAAAATTCTAAACCCTAAACCCTAAACCCCTAAAGCTGTAAACCCTAAACCCCTAAACCCCTAAACCCCTAAACTTAGAGTTCAAGACCCTGGAGCCGCAAACGTGAAAGTTTCAGCCCAGAGTCGTCGCCCGAAGCGCAGGCTACAAATCCTCCGAAGTGCCTGGCCCTGGGGCGTTCCGTGGCAGCATCCAGGGGGTTTAGGGTTTAGGGTTTAGGTTTTAGGGTTTGGACCGACTTAGGGGTTCGGGCCTCCCAAAACTTCGGCCCGAATCGTAGCAAGCCTGAAACAAAAAGGCGGAATCACAAGAGCAGCGCAGCGGGCCACAGCGAGAAGAAGATACTAAAGGAGGTAAAGTATAAGGCACCTCCGAGAAGCCCTAAACCATTCTGACTCGAAGCTCTAAGCCGAAACCCGAAACCCCAAGCGGCTCAATCTGGACAAAGCGGTACACAGGTGGGAAGTTGGGATTCCAGTTCAGGGCATAAGGTTTAGGGTCTAGGGTTTAGGTGGCAAGTGGTAGACGGCGCGCTTTGGGCGAGTTTTCAAGACGTCCGGCAGAAATGGAGTTGATCTGCTTGGAGGGCTCTCCGTGGAGTGCCAAAGTGCTGTGGATCCTGGATGCTTCTTTGTCATAGTTGGGTAATATTTAAAATTTTTAAGGGTACTTAAACCCAATAAGGAATATAAAATTTAAATTTTGAATACTACCCCAACCATGAACAAGGCTTGTTCCATCAAATTTCAGAAGCGCCCCTTTGAGCCTTTCGTGGACGAGATTTGGCTACGTTACAAGCTGGGGCTGTGGCCGTGGCAGAGGCGGTACTGGACTCGGCTCACAGTGCCCATTGCCATCGTGCAGCCCGAAGGTGCGAACACTGGGGGCAGCGGTTCATGCGTCCTCACTGAATCGATGGACATTGCGGAGTGGGCCTTGCGCAATGCTCCGGGGAAGGAGCCGCTGACAGATGCGACTCTTCTAAAGCTTCGCTACTGGAATGATCTGAGCGACGTCATTCTCCAGTTTGGCCGGGCCGCATTTGTGGAAGCTGCGAAGAGGGACATCCGTGTGGCCATCGAGGTTCTATCACCCCCTTGGATGAAGAGGCTGCCGCACTTTCTCACCAAGCTTGTAATGACCTTTGCCTTGAGGGTCTTTGCTATGAAGTATCGGCGCGAGAATGCCCAGAGTAAACAGGAAGCTGTCATGGATGCAGTCAAGCGCATTCGAGCAGCGCTCAAGGAGGGCGGCGGCCAGTACTTGGTGAATGACAGGCAGGTTGATGGAAGAAAGCCCACCCACCTCCCCAAAGTTGCCATCTGCCTGAGGACAGGGTCTAGTCTAATACTGACTAAGTTTACCAAGTGCCCCGGGAAGGTTTTCGTATGCCGACATTGTGATGTCCATTGCGTTGAACTTCTTGGTGCCCAGCGAGGGAGTCATGCTCTTCTCAATACCGAAGAAGTACCAGACGGATGCTGCGGATCCTCTGCAAGAGTTCGACGATGTGAAAGCCTACAAGGCCGCAATGTTTCAGAATCTCCCACAGGTTCTGAGGATTCCGTAGTGTCTCATCATACAGCTAACGGAGGGCAGGTACAAATCCGACGCCCCATCGATTTGATTTTCAATTTCCCAGGGATGACCTCGCTTGGCAGACTGCAAAGGAATGGCGTGCCGAGACAGCTTTGAACGATGAGAGCTACAGTAGCTCCACTTCTAATTAGCACCAGCGCCACCACGGCGACGGCGACTACTACAAGTGTCATAGTCATTGTCTACTCCTACTCCTACTCCTATTAATCACTACACCTGATACGCCTGCACCTCCTCCTCCTCCTCCTTCCCCTTGCTCCTACCACTACCACTACCATTACCACCACCACCACCAC